GCGGCCCGGATCGGGGGCCCGGCTGCAGGCGCCGGGAGGGCCGGGAGGCCGGGCGGGCGGAGCAGGACTCGTGGCGAGGGCCAGGCGCCTCCCTCTCGGGTCTTCGGACAGGCCTAGCGGCCCCTTCGGGACAGGAGCCCCACTGGAGCACCCCACTCCTTGTCCCCGGACACCAGTCCCCTCCCTCCGCCGCAGGTCCGCCCACCGTCCGGGTGTAAGGGGGCAGGCCGTCGGCCTCGCCCTGGCGGGGGGCGGCGGCGGTGACTTCACCGCGGCCGCGCGGGGATTCCTCGCCGGGCCTGGCTGGAGCGGGGTCCGGGGTCCCCTCCCTGGGGCGCGGGCCGCCGAGGGGCCCGGTGGAGTGGCGGGCGCCGGGGCGGGGCAGCTTTGTTTCAGGCCGCGGGAACTATTTCTGGCCGCCCTTTCCCCGGGGGATCACATCCGCCAGGCGCGCCCGGAACGACGGGCCCCTCCTCAGCCGGCCGCCCGTGCGCGGGCCGTGGGGGCTGGTCTGTGTTCGGAACCAGCCTCCCCAGAAGCCCGGCACCTCGGAGCAGGCCCAGGGGTGCGTGGGCGGGGAGTGGGCTCATGCCCGCTGGCTCCGTTATAGGGTCTGCGCCTTGTTTTCTCCCTGGGCTGCAGCTACTGCTGCTTGGTGGGGGAAGGGGCAGTGGCAGGTCTGGTGTTGAGGCCCAGGGTGGGGTGCCTGGAGAAGGTGTGTGGTCCCTCTCAGGATCTGACTGTCCAGAAATGTCCTCTGTCCTGCCCCGCCCTGGCCCAGACCAAAATACCGGGCCTGGCCGCTCCCTTCTGTGCCGCTGGGAGTGGACGCTGCCTGCTCTGGAAGCCCAGCTCGGCCCCATTGCCTGGGCAACCACAGGAGGGGTGGCAGGATCCTATCCTGCCCATCTGGCGTGGGTCAGACCTGTGGCCTCCTCTTCTAGTAGAGCCTCCTGGGGAATTTCCATCTACCCGTCTTACGGAGGAGCCGTTGGGCCAGCCAGGTGAGTGCTGGGCGGGGTGGGTGAAAGTCCAGCCCTGGGCAGCCCTGAGCCTGTCTGGAAACGTGGCTCCGGGGCTCAGCTGCCGTCTGTGCCCAGCGGCGTGCCCCGCCCTCCCCAGTGCAGAGGCTTCACCACAGAGTGGGCAGTGTCCCCGGGGTGCCTCTGGGAGGAGCACAGCCTCTAGCTGCACTTCTTGCTGGTGTTGGTGTGGCTGTCCCCTTTCCAGTGATGGGGACCGGCAGAGGAGGAACCCCAGGTCTGGGGAGTGTCTACCAGCCCTGCCTGCCCAGCACTCTCCATTCTCTCCACCCTGGCTGGGAGAAAGGAAGGAAGGCTTCCTCTTCAACAGAAGCCTGAGGAGCGTCCCTAAGGCCACACAGCTATTCATGGGCAGGCCAGTCTGCCTGAGTGGCTCTCTTCCCCTCCAGGAGCTATAGGTCCCTGTCACGGTCCCTGCCAGCCTGTGACGTGGAACCCGGGGAATGCTGTGGGGGGGCGGGTGGGGCCTGCATGAGCTCACCTCAAGTGCCTGCTGGGGCTTCCTCCCTTGGCTGCCAGCAGGGGTGAGTCAGCCAGCGATGGTTAGGGGTCCCCCATGCCCCCATGAAGGGCTCTGGTCAGGGAAGCCAGGCCCTCTGGCCATCAAGGGACTGGCTTTCAGTTCGCTGTGGGCCCCACATGTCAGCCCTGCCTGCAGTGGGGGTGGGGGCTCCTGAGCTGCCCTCCCAGGAAGTGTCCTGGTTCCGGTGAACACTCTCCCAAGGCCTTCACCCAGGGCAGCGGTTGGCTTGCCCCATCTGTGTCCCCTCCCCCTGTCCCCACTGGTGTCTGGCTGTCCTCCCGTCAGGCCCTGGTGTTGTGGCTATCTGACCTCCCCCGCCTCCGGGCCCCAAGATGGGCGAGTTCAATGAGAAGACGACATGCGGCACCGTCTGCCTCAAGTACCTGCTCTTCACTTTCAACTGCTGCTTCTGGGTGAGCAGCGGGCACACCTACCCTTCCCCTGTCCCCTGTCCTCCACCATGTCTCCACTGTCATCTCCTCCCTCCCATCCCTGGTTCACGGAAGGAGCCTCGGCCTGGGGACTCAGCCCTCTCAGACCTAGGGCCAGATGTGGTGACCGGTGTGCACTGCCCACAGCTGGCTGGTCTGGCCGTCATGGCAGTGGGCATCTGGACGCTGGCCCTCAAGAGTGACTACATCAGCCTGCTGGCCTCGGGCACTTACCTGGCCACAGCCTACATCCTGGTGGTGGCTGGTATTGTTGTCATGGTGACTGGTGTCCTGGGCTGCTGCGCCACCTTCAAGGAGCGGCGGAACCTGCTGCGCCTGGTCAGCAGGGCTTGGCCAGCACTGGGTGTGGGGGGATGGGGGTACTGGGGGGGGTGCTCCCCACCAGGCTGCCAGGGGCTGGATCTGGGGCCCTGACAGGGGAAGAAGAGAATGCCAGGGGTCGAGCGTGACATTGCAGGATAGTGTCTGCTGTGGTCACCTCGGGGAGTGTCTCTCCCCACCTGCCTAGCCTTGGGAGTCCCCACGTCCCAGTGGGCTGACACCAGCTCCAAGAGAAAGCCTCGGGGAGCGTGGCTGTCCCCAGCCCCCACCTGCTGCCTGGAGCCCCACTCTGGCCACTTGGGAGCTGAGGGTGGGGGCTCTGCTCCGTTGTTCCTGGACACTAGCGGTCCTCACAGAATGGGGGTGTCTGGGTCTCACCCCACCTCACCGGGTCCCTGCCCCCCCAGTACTTCATCCTGCTCCTCATCATCTTTCTGCTGGAGATCATTGCTGGCGTTCTGGCCTACGTGTACTACCAGCAGGTGAGGGCCTGGACGGGCCACACGGGGACACGGACACAAGCACACCAGGACACACACATGCACAGGCGGTGTGTGCACATGCAAAGGCACACACATACACACTGGAAAGAACACAGGCGACACGCGCACACAGGGACATGCACACACGACCCCCACCCCCCCATACTCCAGAGTTGACCATGGTGCCACCAGGCCCTGGAGGTGGCGGCTGGGTCACAGGAGGGAGAGTGGACGGCAGGGGTGGGCAACCTGCCTGCAGCACCCAAGCTGCCCACCTGGGGCTCACGGGGGGAGGCAGGTGTCTATGGGATCTGGAGCTCCCTCCCCTGGGGGGAGGCACGTGTCTATGGGATCTGGAGCTCCCTCCCCATGGCCGCCGGGGTGACTCTCCCAGCCCGCCGGGCCCCCAACCCCAGCCCTCCCTGTGCCTCTCCCTATCCGTGCCCGCCCTGCTCTGTCCACCTTGGAGGGTCTGACTTTGTGGCTGAAGCTGTCCCCCCTCACCCAGCTGAACGCGGAGCTGAAGGAGAACCTGAAGGACACCATGACCAGGCGGTACCACCAGCCAGGCCACGAGGGCGTGACCAGCGCCGTGGACAAGCTGCAGCAGGAGGTTGGTGGGTGGCGCAGGGAGGGGCGTGCACGGCCCCCTGGCCTCCCCAGACCTGGCCCGTCCCCATTGCAGGGGTGGGGGGGTGGGGGCTCAGCCTGGCCGTGTTCCCGCTGCAGTTCCACTGCTGTGGCAGCAACAACTCCCAGGACTGGCAGGACAGCGAGTGGATCCGCTCTGGCGAGGCGGGCGGCCGTGTGGTCCCCGACAGCTGCTGCAAGACCGTGGTGGCGGGCTGCGGGAAGCGGGACCACGCCTCCAACATCTACAGGGTGGAGGTAGGCTGGCGGGAGCCTGGGGCCCCAGGTGCCCAGGATGCTGCGGGCGGGTGTGGCCACACCCCAAGGGGGCCTGGCGCTGTGGCTGGGGGACTGGGAGCCTTGCCTGTCTTCAGCGCCCCCCTCCCCCACCAGGGCGGCTGCATCAGCAAGCTGGAGACCTTCATCCAGGAGCACCTGAGGATCATCGGGGCTGTGGGCATCGGCATCGCCTGCGTGCAGGTGTGGGCAGCGGGGCGGGGTGGGCCCTGGGGGGTGCAGGGACATGAGCTGGCTGGTGGCCGTGGCCTGCTCATGCCGGCTCTGTGCCACAGATCTTTGGCATGATCTTCACGTGCTGCCTGTACAAGAGCCTGAAGCTGGAGCACTACTGACCGTGCCACTCCGGCCCTCCGTGCATGCTGCAGCCGCTGCAGCTTCGCGCCGCCCGTGACTACTGAGCTGAACTACTGACGGCCTGGGCTGGGGTCCCAGGATGCCGCTCCCACCCCTCTCCCCTCTGCCAAGGAGGTTGTCTTCTCATGCCTCTGCGCCCCCGTGACCTCTGGGGACCCCCACCCCCAGGAGGAGCTTCAAGTGCCTTTTGCTGCACACCAAAGCCCTGAGGCCTGAGGCAGGGTCCCCTCCCGCGGTGGGGCGGGGCGGCACTTCTGCCTGTCTGCTGGTGGGGGTCCTGGTCTGGCTGGTGGGGTAGGACCATTGGGTTCTGACAATAAAGTGCCCCCTCCCAGGCCACCTTCTTTGGGGTGGGGTCATGAGGCCTTGGGGTGCTCCCTGATGCCTCTGCTGAGTCAGAGGGGTTGGTTTGCAGGCAAGTTGGGTAGAACGGGGCTGGGCCACCCTAGGAGTCCCCCTCACCCCGTCCTGTGCCTCTGTTGCCCCCTCTACTCCCTGAACCCCCGTTTCTCCACTGCTCTCAGCACCGTCTAAAAGGCCACATACTCACATGCTCATTGTCTCCCCTTCCCGGTGCAGAGGGTTTGTGGGTTTTATTAACTGCTGTGTTACAAATGCCTGGAACTGCTCCTGCCACCTAACAGGTGCTCAATAAACGTGTGTGAACAGACGGGTGAACTCACTACTGTCAGTGAAAGACGGTTCTGGTCCTCAGGGCCCTCCCACCCAGCAGGGTGGACAGACCCCACCCCCCCAGTGCCATGACAAAGGAGAAGGGCAGGGGGCCAGAAGGGCACATCCCGGGGTCCAGGGCAGCCGGGTGTGACCTGAGAGCTGATGGGTCTCAAGGGGGAGGAGGCCAGTGGCAGGGACACTGAGCACAGGCCTTGAAGCAGAAGAACCTCCCCCACTCTTGGGTGGAAAGATGGTGGTGTGGGAGGAGCTCGCAGAGAGGAAATGGGGACAGACCTCAGGAGGGCTGGATCTACTTGTGGTTCCCAAAGATCCTCTGGCCACCGTGTAGGGACAGGTGCGCGAGAAGGCGGAGGCGGGAGGGCGTGGAGCGGGGCATCTCAGGAGTCGTGCAGGGGAGATGCGGTGCCTGAGGCCTGGCAGGACGTGCTGCCAATGGCAGCCGGGGCTGGACAAAGCAAGAACACTGAGCCTGGAGGGCAGCCAGGGCTTGGCCACTGTGCCCTACAGCTTGGGCTGTCTACCTCCGGGCAGACCCCATCTTCCCCTGACCAGTTTCGTCATCTGCACTTGGAGGACCCTGCTTCAGATGGCTGAGTATCCAGGCCTGCCCTGAAGAAGGCTGCCTCTCTCCTAACCACATGTTCCTGCCTGCTGCCCGCGGGAGGGCACCAGGGCCTGCCTGACCCCCGCCCAGGGTCACAGCTGCCAGCGCTAAGGCTCAGCCTGAGTTGGAACAGGACAAGCCCCTGGGAAAGAGCTCTTCTGGCCTGTCCACAAGATAAATGCTAATGCCCAGGACCCTGGGAGCTTGGCCAGCCCTGATACCCAGCAGAACCTCTCCAGGGCGACCCCCGACCTGCTGTGGGGGTCTCAGGGCTGGTTGTTGGAGGCCAGGCCCTGCTCCTCGCCCTCGGCAGGAACTTGGCCAAGGGGAGGGGCCTGCTGGGCTTGGGGGGAACCTGGAAGCTTCTGGCAGCAGGACCCTCAGGAGGGACAGCTATGACCACAGTGGGCACTCTATTCAGGGCCCAGAAAATCTGGTTCTTGAGATCCTGGGAGAGAGGATGTGGGGAACTCTGTGCTCTGCCTAAAGGGGGCTCAGAACCTGGGCATGGGGATGCCAGTGTCCTCCCCCCGGCATCTCCCCTACCCCCAGGGTTCCTGGTTGTCTGTGGCTTTGTTGGGCTGTGACAGCACACACCCCAGAGGAAGACCCTCCAGGCTGAGGAGCAGCTGCCATTTGGATGGCTCTCCCGCCTCCTGGGCAGCGAGGGCTGCATTCACCCCCAAGGGGCCTCAGGCATGAGACAGGACACAGAAATGCAGGCGGTGGGAAGTCCCACAAAACCAGGCCAACTGTTAGGACCTCCTTGTGGCTCTGCCAAGACCTTTACTGGATGATTCCTTCCAGAGTGGGAGACGCACGCCCACACAGCTGGGGGCAGGCATTGCTCCTGGTTGCCCACCCCTGGGTGGAATGAACCCTGGGCAAGTGGTCAGCACGGCAGGCGGGCGGGCAGACTCCAGCGCAGTCACTTCTCCAGGGGCGCATAATTGAGCAGCTTCTCGATCAGGTCCACATGGGCCAGCAGCATGCGGCGGCAGCAGTAGCGCTTCAGGCCCAGAGCATCCAGGGCGTCCCTGCCGGCAAGGAGAGAACGGGCTGTGGTCAGTTTGTCCTGGCAGTCCCTGGCAGACAGAGGGCCGTGCACAGGCCATACCAAGTCCCACTCAGCTGCTGTGGGATCTTTCCTCAGCCCCACTCCACTCCAGGGAGCCCCCTCTCTCATTTCCTGAGCCAATTAGAGCTCTCAATTTCCCTGCGACCCAGCCCCAGTCACCCTCAAGGCCTGAATATTTCCACATCATTGCCTCCAACGTGCAGAGATAGTAGTTTGGGAAAGAGGAGGCCAGGCTGGGAGGTCCCTGCCCATGGCATCCCAGGGAAGGGGTCTCATGCAGGCTGCCAGCCATTCCCTAGTACTCTCGTCACTAGCAGCCTCATCAGGGCTTGGCGCTAACACTCAGCCCACCTATGGCTTCCCCGTTCATCCAACATACTTGCACTGAGAGCCTATGGCGTGCTGGCATGCCCCAAGCCCCAGGGGTTCAAATTTGATTAGGACACACGGCTGTCCACACAGGGCCCAAAGTTTAGCCTCTAGTAGGGAAGAGAGACTAGAATAGGCATGGTGGTAACTGTAGTGCTAAAGGGCAAGCACAGAAAAGGGACCCACAACAGCCTGATGAGGACGGCTGTGTGGTCACAAAGCTTATCCTCCGTCCTAAAAGGAAAGTGGGTTTGCCGGGTACAGATGTGGACCTAATGGCAAAGAAACAAGATTAGGAAGCAAGCACAGGGAGAGGAGGCTGAGAGTTTTAACTGTGGCAGAGAGGCACGGTAACCCACCAGCATACCTAGGTGTCCCCAAGACACCAGTTGCTTGATGCCCAACACCCCATCTCTCCCCAAGCTGGGGGGCAGTGGGAGGCAACGCTGTCCTGAGGGAAGGTCAGGCTGGAAGGTACCCCGGAACTGCAGCGTCACCTGGCATCTGATGAGTGCCTCTGCCCACCTCGCACGCCGGGACCCTCCCAACTTCCCCGCTCGCAGGCTGGGACCCCCCACCCCCGTCCCTTTCCCACAGGCCGGGATCCCCCACCCCTATCCCCGTCCCGCAGGCCGGGACCCCCGACCCCGTCCCGCAGGCCGGGACCCCCCACCCCCCACCCCGTCCTGCAGGCCCGGACCCCCCTACCCCGTCCGCAGCCCGCAGGCCGACGGTCCGGCAGCCTCCCCTCCCGCGCCGGCCCGCGCCTCACCCCTCGGTGTACTCGGCCTGCAGCAGCCCCAGGTAGGCCTCCCACTTGTTGCCGACGATCTTGCCGCACGTAAAACAGCGCACAGGGATGATCATGGCTGCGGAACAGAAAAGCAGAACAGCACTGCCCGGCGACGCTTCCGCGTGTGGCGCCGGCCCCGCCGCGGGCGCACTTATAGAGCAGGCGGTGACCGCCCCGCCCCGGGCGCGCCTATGGAGCGGGGGGTGACCGCCCCGTCCCCGGCCGCCGCCAGCCCGCCCTGCCCGCTCCGGGCGCCGCCGGCGTCCGTCTCCCGCCGCCTCGAGTTCCCTCCGCGCGGGTCGGAGGTCCCGGGCCCCGCGTGGCAGCGGCAGGAACAGGAGGCACCACCCCGTCCGCTGCTTTGGTACGTCCCGGCCTACGGCGGCCGCGCGGGGCCTTAAAGGGTTGTCGTCGGCGGTTCGCGTTTCTCGTGTCCGCATGACTGACAGCTGCGCGGCGGGCAGACGGCGCGCTCAGGTACTGCCCTGGTCGGGAAGATGTGGCCGGGGTCCTGCCGCCGCAGCGGGACCGGGACCGGGACCGGGCCCAGGACCAGGAGCGGGCCCAGAGCCGAGCCGGCGCGGAGTTCGTGCCCCAGCGCGGAGCCCCGAGCCGAGCCGCAGCAACAAGTGGCGGGGCCGGGGTCGCGGAGACGCGCTGCGGGGCGGAAAGGGGCTGACCGGCCAGCGAGGCCGGCGGGAGCGGGCGACCACGGGCAGGTCTTCCCGCTGCCCCTCCCGCCCGGCCCGGACGGGGGTCTTCCTGCTGGCAGCCTCTTCCTGCGAGTGCCCGGGGGGGTCTCTGCAGCTGATTTGGGGGTCCCATTCCCAGCCGCGGCCTGGCTCCTCGGGGCACCGCCCAGCCTACTCCCCCGCATAGTATCGGTCCCAGCCGGGTAGTTACCTGCAGCCCCGACGGCTGAGGGCGCGCTGGGAGCAATCGGGCCGGTGCCGGGCTGGGCCGGCGGCTCCTCCCTTCTTCCCAGGGAAGGGGCTGGGAGGGGGTGTGGGATGGGTCTGCACTTGTCCCAGGCCAGGCTGCGCTGGATCGCCCGCGATCTGAGGGCATCGGACTTCTGAGGACCCCGAGGGGAGCAGAGGCTAGGGAAGGTGGTCAGGGAGAGTGTCTTCGAAGAAGTACCCCTGAGCTGAACCTTGAAGAACACAGGATTTCCCCAGGGGCGAGCCTGAGTGTGTGTGAGAGAGCAGGACAGATCCGGGCAAAGGGAACCCTCGGGCAGAGACCTGGAGGCTGTACCTGCAGGGCAGCTCAAGGAGACAGGTTTGCACTAGGGCAGAGGAGGTGGTGGAGCTCGAGGTCATGGGGCAGGAACCATGGAGGATTTAAAGGGATGGGAGGCTGTGTCTCTGAAAATGGGGTGGGTTGAGCAGGTGATCCCGGGGCTGGGGTCTGCAGGGAGGGCAGTGTGTAGTGAGAGGCAGGGAAACCTCCCTGGAGGAGGTGAGCTTTGGGCAGTAGGGGTGGATGTGTTGCAAAGTGGCGCCTATGACTTACTTGCGTATGCAGGCTCTGGGCATGTTCACTGGCCTGGGGTGTCTGGATCTCTGATTGGGATGGGGCCAGCGTTGGGTCCCAGGCATCAGCTAACTGCCCTCTCAGAGTGGATGATGGACTCTGGCCTCAGTTGGGGAGCAGGGAGATGGAGGGTCCTCTGGGTCCTGGGTGGGGCTGGCCAGAGCTGCTGCCTGCCTGGAATTTGTGCCCCCACCTTCACCTGGGCTCTGGACAGCTTCCCCAGTGGTGTTTGCCATCCCCCACCCTGCCACGTGCAGAGCCACGAGCTGAGGCCACTTCCCTTCCCTGCCCTCCCCCAGGCTGACTGGACGCACATCCTGTCCCCGACCAGAGGAGCAAGACAGGGGGCCTTGAGTCACAGTGGCCTGGAGTCGGACTCGGGCTCAGCTGCAGAGGCTACCGGCGGCTGTGGAGGTGAGGGAGACAGGGGAGGGGCTCCGGGATGTCCGCTGGGTGGACATTCAGGAGCTAGGGGGGGATGGAAGGCTTCCTGGAGGAGGGGCCCAGGGCCTGCCCCACCCTTGCTTCAGCCCTGACTCGTGAGCAGTTGTTTACTCCAAGAGAGTGTGGGGAATGAGCCTCCCGCCCTGATGCTGGCCAGAGCCAAGTTGACATTCCTGGAATTCTGAGCGCTGCGTGTGGATTTGGGGGCGGTGGCCGGCCTCCTCTTCCTGAGCTCCTCCTCCAGCTCCCTGAGTTCCCAGGAGAGGCCATGGGGAGCAGCGTGGCTGCCGCTGTCCCAGCCTGTGCACGTACTCCCAACACTCGTGTGCACGGAGGCTCCTTGGGGCCCTTGATCCTCCCGTCTTGACTCTGCTGTGGCTCAGGCTGGACCAGAGGACCCTGGGGGAGCCTCAGAGGTCAGCCCTGCCTTGCTGCCGGGGCCTGGGTGGTCGTATGTCTGTGTGTGTGTGTGTGTGTGCACACGCTCTGGGAGGAGCAGGCTGGGGTGTGGGCCGGGCTCTCTTCAGGGTGGGCAGGGGCAGGAGGTGGTGGGCTGGGGGTGGGGCCGTGTCTGCTGCAAGGGTAGGTGGGGGCCCTAGCTTCTCCCCTGGGTGTGTGTGGAGCCTAGGCCTCTGGGGAGGGCCGGAGATGGGGACGGGAGAGCGGGGCGCGGTTTCTGAGAGTGGACTGTCCCGCCCTGGTGGTGGGGGCTCGAGGAGGGAGGGCCATGCTAACGTGTGGTTTGGAACCCCTGAGCCTCATTTCCTGCCGGAGGGGGTCACTTCAGGGCAGACCGGACAAGGGGAAATCAGCGATTGGAGTTTGAGCTGCTGAGACCCTCTGGCCCTGAAGGTTGCCCTGGAAACAGGCTGGCCACAGGGGTGACCCAGCCTGGGAGAGGGCTCACCCTGCCCCCTGGTCCTAGGTCACAGCCTCAGTTTCCTGGTCTGTAAAGTGTGGGTGGAACCAGAAGCTGCCCAGCGGGAGGGTCCCAATCCTGGCTGTGCAGGCGTGCGGTCCCAGGCTCGGCCCCTGGCCCTGCTTGCTTGGTAGATGTGGGCTCACACAGGGGGCGTGCAGGGTCGGGTGGGGTGAGCATACACGCTCAGACGCCTCCCCAGGGTCAGGCGAGGTCACCGCCTGCCACACCAATACTTAACGCTCTCGGTTCTGGGGGATGTGGAGTCGTGAGTGGTGGTGTTTGCAGTTGTGCTTGAGGCCAAAATGGCCCTAACCTACTGACCCTCCGGACATCCCTGAGGGTACTGCTCTATAGGGATCTCGGTGGCACGGGGCTGGGTGGCGGCGTCTGTGCGAGGTGGGTGGGCACACACTGGGCACCTGAGGCAGGGTGCTCCCAGGGCCTGTGGTGGGTGGGAAGGCTCCCCCCACTCCCAGGTCCTAATTGTGTCTCCTGCACCCCCTCCTCCACGTGGCCTCTAGCAGAGAAATACCTGAGGGTGGGAGGATGAGAGGGGGGTGAGGAGGCAAGGCTTTGAGCTTGGGGTTGGCCTCGGTGGGCCCAGGAGGAGAGACTGGGGGCCTCTGGGTGGCGTCTCTCACGGGGACCCCTCCCCTAGGGACCCCTCCACTGGAGCGAGTGTCTCCCAGCCCGGGAGGCTGTGGATTGGGTGTGGGGAGAGGGCCCTGCCCAGGCTGTGTGTGTGGAGGGGGTACCAGCCTGCCTTTCCCCCAGGGTGGGGGCCTGGGTGGGCATTGGGGCCTGGCAGGCAGCAGGAAGGCGGACACCACAGGCCTGTTTGTGTTGGCGGGGCCCTGGCTCCTCAAAGCCGCCTCAGAGCCGGCTCGGCCTGGGGGCCCGGGGTGGGCGGGCTCCGCTCTGCTCTCCACCCTGAGCTGCCCCCACTGCATGTGTGCTTCTGGGCCAGGCCCCTGCTGCTGCTCGAGGCTGAGGCTCTGGGTGGGTCATGCCACTGGCAGCCGCCCATCAGCTCCAGGCCTCCAAGTCCTCCAAGTCCGCGTGGGCAAGCGCTCTTTCAGCTTTTGGGGAGGTTTCTATTTGAATGGGACCTGGCCCAGGTAGGTGTGGCTCACGGTCCCTCGGGGCCCCCCACCTGCCCCCACCCAGGGGCCATGGAGAGTCCAGAGGCCCAGCTCAGGGCGGGCAGGCTGTGGGGGTGTTTGTCTTGGGGCTCTCGCTCATCCCCATCCCTGCTCCCTGCTACGTGTGCCGTTCTGGGGGCGACGACGTGTTGGTCTCTGCTCTCGAAGGAAGCCTAGAGCGTTGAGTGGGGCAGGGAGGTGTCCTGGAGGAGGAGGCTGGGCCTGGGGAGGGAGGGAGCCAGCCCTGGGCCTGTCCAGCCCCTGCACCCGTGCCCTGACTGCAGTGTTGCATTTGGGCTGCATAGGATGGGGGTCAGGGGCCCTTCGTGAAGGGGCATTGTGGAGGCCAGAAGGGCTGCAGGTCATTCACAGAGGGTCCAGGGGCTGCCTTGCGCTTGGGGCTGGGAGTGTGGCCAGGCAGCGGTCTCGTCCACACTCAGCTTGGTGTTGACCATGGGTCTTCCTCATATGTGAGGACCCAGGAGTGTTGGGGGGCCATGAGAGGTGCTGGTGGTCTGCCCTTTAGGGCCTGCCCAGGAGGCCCATCCCCCGATGCCCAGGTCTGGGGGTAACAGGGCATGCAGACCCAGCCTCAGGCCTGTGTGATGCTGGGTGTGATGTGTGCTTTTTGGCTTCTGGAATGTTGCTGTGGGCTTTGGCTTCCTTAGCTCCTGGGCAGGGGCTTCATTGAAGAACCTGGGAGGAGTGTGTCCCCACCCATGGCCCCTGAGGCTTCAGCAGGCTGAAACCCTCCCTTCACGCCCTCCACTTCATCCCTGGGCACAGCATTTGTTGAGGGGTGGGGGTGGGGTCCTGGGGCCCCGGGCCCAGGCGCATTGTCTCTCAGCTGGTTGGTGGGTGCATTCATAGCCCCTAACTGAGCTCGGGGGGAACGGGTCTCAGGTTGCCTGCACGGAGGAGCTGCGACTGCACCGGCTCAGTGGCCTCCTGCCTACGCCACGTGTGGGTTTGAGTGGACCGGCTGGCAGTGGGCTGCCCGTGAGGGGGTGGGCACCTGCCTGGGTGGTGTTTCGAGCTTCTGCAGCCCCCTCCTGTCCTGCTGCTGGGACGGCCACCTGCCCCACCCCCAGGCTGCAAGGAGTCCTGGTCTGAAGGGCAAGGAGTGGGGACAAGGCTGGAATGTCGTCAGACTCCCCCACATGGAGCTTGGGCCCCCCTCCCCACGGTCCCTGGCTGGCCGGGGAGGACATATCCCCGTGTGAGTGCCAGTGGCAGGTGAATGGGCCCCGTGAGTCATCGATGCTGGCTGCAGGGAGAGTGCTAAGTCAGTGGCTCAGGGCATCTGTCTGCTCCGAGTGAGGAGGGGACAGGGTGCAGGGCCTCGGGGGGAAGTGGACAACACAGGCTGGTCCCAGGGGTCCAGGGGTCTGGGACCTCTGGGGGGTGGCACACCACTGCGTGCCCTGAGTCTGTGTGTCCATGTCTCCGAACATGCGTGTTCTCTGTGTGCACGTCCCTGCACATGCGTTCTCTTTGTCTGCGTGTACAAGCCTGCCTTCCTGTCTGCGCGTCTCAAAAGCCTGAGAGGCCAGAGGTTGGGGATGCAGCCTCCCTGGTCTGGGCCCTGGTGGGTGGTCTGGCCCCCTGAGTCTGGCAGTGCACCCCCACCCGCCCCCGGCCGCCCCTCTGCCCCTGTAGGGACCCGGTCCCCAGTGGAGGGCTGTCCCTCTGCTTCAGCCTGCCCTGCCCCAGTGGAGGTGGGATGAAGTGCAGCATGGCCTGCATCCCGCCCGTCTTTCCTCCGCAGAGCTCCAGCCTGCCTGGGCTGCGCTAACGGCTAGCCCGCCCGCTGGCCCGCCCTCAGAGGCACCGAGCACCTCCTGGCTTCTCTCCAGTGGCAAACCCAGGTATGTCACGGCCTGACCGGGGCAGCACTGGGCTGCCTCCTGGTCTCCCCCACTCCTGGCCCAGCGGCCTGGCCAGTTGGATGCTCCCCTGGTCCTAGGACAGACTGAGGCCCAGCCAGCCAGATGCTGCTTCCTGAGTGCGTCTCGTTGGGGCCCCACCTGCTAGTGGAAGGGGACTCCTGTTGGGGAGGGGCTGGACTTTGGGGACGGGGTCCCTCGGCTGCAGCCCTGGTGCGCCTGTGTCCTTGCTCCGACTGACCCTCATGTCCTTGGGTGAGTTTTCCTGTTTCATCCCAGATCAGACTCCCCTGGTCACCTAGGGTGATGGGCGCAGGGCTTTGTAGATGGGAGAGGGGGGTGGCAGGAGTTTGGGGGGATGCTGGAACAGCGCTGGCTGAGGGAGATGGAGCTGAGGACATCTCGGGTGCTGGGCCCAGTGTGGGAACCCAGGCCGACACCCCCCGCCCCCCGCACCCCAGTGTGATGAAGGGTGAGGGCTGAGCCTGTGGCCGCGTGGGGAGCCCTGCGTGTCACTGCTCCCCTCCCAGCTCAGCTCGTCCTCATCCTTTGAGGCCTGGTCCTGGGAGTCAGGCTGCTCCTCCTGGTTCCCCGCCTGCCCTGGCCCCAGTGTCTTCCAGGAGGATAGAGCTGACAAGCCGGCTGCAGGTTTATTTATGCCACTGGAGGTCCAGCGGTCCCTCCCTGGGTTGTCTGACCCTGGGCTGCATGGGAGTTGGCTGACTGTGACCCTATCATGGGGGTTGGTGTCTGTGCAGGGCGTGTGTAGTGGGGTTTGGCTTCTCTGACGGGGGGGGTCTCCTGCTCAGCCCGGGGTCCTCCCTTAGCCTCCTGTGCCAGGAGTGCACTCTGAGCATGCGCCCTCACACACACACTGTCACGTGCAGGGACCTCCTCGGCCCTAAGTGTCCACCTTCAGCTTGGGTGCGGGGGCTGGGTGAGTTGGGCCAGAGGCTGCTGGGAGTTACCGAGATCTCGAGGGTTCACCAGCTGCCACTTGCTCCCTGGGCAGAGCTGTGGACGCTTGTCTCTGCGGGGGCCTGATGGGGGCCCTCCACTGCCTGCTCCACTGGGCTCCTGGCACATGGTCACTGTTGTGTCCCTTTCCTGGGGCCCAGACTCGCCAGAGAGCCCTCAGGGGAGGACAGGGTTGAGGGGCCATGGGAAGTCCCAGGCCAGCAGTGTGGTCCAGGCAGGGACTCTAGGGCTGTGCTGTCCCCCCTCTCCACCAGGGCTAGATCTGCCCAGGGAGGACTTGCCTGCAGGGCTTGAGCTGCAGTTCTCTGCAGAGCCCTCGGGGGGCAGCAGAGGGCTGGTGCTAGCGGTCCTCGGGGCCCTGCAGGGCTGCCAGACCTCCCTGGGCCCCCACCTGTCCAGACATCCCTAGCCTTGCCGCCTCTCGCACCACTCAATCTCTCAATCTGTCACTCTGTCAGCATCGCCAGTGTGCCCCCCCAGCCCTCCTCCTCCTCTTATCTCCTCTCCTCCCAGCTCCCCTCCCACTCCCCCCTTCCACCCCCCTCTTCTTCATTCCTCCCTCTCCTGCCCCCTCTGAGCTCTGCTGCCCAACCCTCAGGGACCTTGAGTGAATCTTTCCCTCTTTGCACTTCAGTTTCTGGGACCGTCCCATGGGGTGGACACTGTCAGGCTGGGTAGGCCTTGGCCACAGCTGCTAGCCCACGGTACAGGGCACAACCATGCCTGCGGCGGCCTCCCTCCCCCCAGGCCCTGAGAGGAGGGGTCTCAGCCCCTCCTGGGCCTCTGGGCTGCAAGGCCAAGGTCGGGGGGGGGCATCTGGGCCACATGCTGATGTCTCCCCCCACACCAGGGCCCCAGAGACCGTGCCGCCCCCACCAGGGGGGTGGGCTATGGGGGCACAGCTGTCCCCATCTGTGATTGTGGGCCTGTGTGAGCACCCCTAGGCTGTTCCTGGTGTGTGTGCACACCATCAAGTGTGCACACCCAATGTGACAGGCTAGTGTGCACACCACCAGTGCAAGGGGCATTGGGGCATGTTCTGGGGTGTGTGCAAGTCACCCCGGGAATCTGCGAGCCTGGCCTAGGTCCACGTCCACCTGCGTGTGTGGATGTGTCTGGGAGGGTGCAGGGTCTGACTTCCAGCCTGGGCTGGTACAAAATAAAATTTGGGGCCCCTTGGTCAAAAATTATCAAGAATTTCAAGACAATGGCAGTGCAGCATCAAACCAACAAGGGGTCCGGTGTGACGGCACATGTCACACGCGGGTAAAGCTGGTCCTGTTGCCTGCCCAGGGAGACAGGACCAGAGGAGAGGGGCTGGGAGGGGCCTGAGGTCAGCAGCCCGCCCTTCAGCCCTGTCAGCCCACCCTGGCTGGGCGAAGGGGCGGGGTGGCGCCAGGAGTTGAGCTCTGGGCCTGGAGTGGGGTGCTGACCTTCCACGGGGCCTGTCTCCGGGCCCCTACTGATTACTCCTGCACTCCTGTGTGTTCCGGCCCCTCCCTTTAAGTCTGAAAACCTGCCGAACATGCCTTGCAGAGTGACACCGTCCCTGGCCCAGGGCTCCCCAGGCACCCACCCTGCTTTCCCTCCCTGGCCCCTCTCAGGACCTTGCCCTTTAAGCCGCAGCTCTGCCTCCTCCCCCCGCACTGCCCGCCCGCCAAGGTTGAGTACCCCAGTCCCAACAGGCGCCTGTCGGCACCCAAGGTGTGAACTGCCAGAGCTTTGGGGTCCCAGCAGAGCCCTGCCCAGCCCAGGGTGGAAGTCGGGGGGCTACTTGGAGAGTGCGCACCCCACGTGTGTTCCGGGGCTACCTCGGCTCTACCTCGCTCTGAGTCGGAGGCCTGGGTCGGGGAGCAAAGCCGGAGCCACCCCAAGTTGCCACCACAGAGCAAGTGGGTCACCCCTCTATTTGCATAGTGCTTTGCAGATCTGTACGGTCAGAGGTCTCCAAGCCCAGCGGGGCAGCGGGGTCCGGGTGCAGTGCAGCCGCGGGAGAAGGCCCGGGGCGTCGACCCCGGGGCTGAGAGCTGCCTGGGCCGCAGCCCCCGGCCCCCAGTCCCTTCCGGCGCTTCCCCTGCCCTTCGGGAGCATCTTCCTCCCG